GAGCTGAGTGGAGTAGATAATAAAGGATTTTCTATCCCCTGATCCATGCATGGGATATACAAGGGAGTGGAGAAGGAAATGGCAATCCACTCTAGTATTCTTGCCTGGAGAGTCCCATGAACAGAGGAGCCTGGCAGGCTGCAGTCAATGGGGTCGCAAGATTCGGACATAACTTAGCAACTAAACCACTACCACCGTACAAGGGAGAGCCAGTGAAAAGTTTTAAGTATGGGAGAATTTGATCATACTTAAGTTTTCTAAAACATCACTCTGATGGCCATGCAGAGATAGATTGGAAAGAGGAGGGGACAAGAAGCTAGAAACCCAACAAAATTTATCTCAGCCATTGCTGAGAACCTGAATTAAGGCAATGGCAGAGGAAATAGAAATGGAAGGATGGACTTAAAAGTTAGAAATAACAAAGCCTAGTGGCGAATTGGATATAGTGTATGACAGAGAAGGGGAGAGTCCTGGAGGCTGGGAGATGCGTTCCCATCAATTAAGATTAGAGAACACTGCCATCATAGCATTATTTATAATAGCCAAGATATGGATGTAACCTAAGTGCCCATGAAACAGAGGCACAGATAAAGAAGATGTAGTATACAGTGGAATGCTACTCAGCCTATAAAGGATGCAATCTTTTTTTTTTTTCAGTAACCTGCATAAACTTTTAGAGTATTATGCTAAGTAATATAAGTTCAACAGAGAAAGTCAAATACCATATGGTTTCACTCAGATGTGCTATAAATAGACAAAGAAGCAAACCAAAGCCAAAATAAATGATCAAATCAAACCAAACTAAAACAGGAACGTAGGTATAGAGGAAGGAGCAGTGGTACTTGAATGGAAAAGGCAGGAGGGGGAGGGTGAAATGGGTAATGGGGATCAAATGTATGGTGACAGATGGAAACTAAATTTTTGGTGGTGAGCATACTACAGGTTATACATAAGTCAAAGTGTATTATTGTACATATGAAATATAAAATGTTATAAACCTGTGTTACTTCAATAAAAATAAATAAAAAAATAAAATTAAAAAAAAACTAGAAATGACAAAGATCAGGGAAAGCTGGAAAACAAAGAAGGTCGTGGAAGTTGGGGAAAGTGATGAGATCAATTTTGGCATGTGAGATAAAGATGAAGAACCTGGAGGATAAACTGAATGTCTCCCATACGGACCTAGAAATTAGTAGAGAGGTATAACCTTTATCTGTAGATATAGGGGTCAATGACATGTACCGGGGTATCTAAAACAACAGGAACTTATTTGACTGTTGAAGGAAAAGATTTACAGTGAAAAGGTGCCCAGGGATAGAATCCTCAAGAACATCACCTTCCAAGCAGAGCCACGGGAAAGCAAACCAACATCTGACACTGAGAATAAATGGTCAGAGAGGTAAACACGCAGGAAGATGAAGAGCAGCCTCCACAGTCAAAGAGGGAAAGGAGAGAGTAATCAAAGGTAGCCAAGGGCACAACGAGATCAAGTAAAATAAGGATTTAGACATGTTTGTGAGCTGGGTAATTTGGAGCTCACTGTTGATCAGAGAAAGGACAATTTTCATGATACACTGGCAATGTGTGGTTTGGGTAGAAATCAGATGATAGTGGTTTGGAGTGGATAGGAGGTGAGATTATCTAGACACATGTGTAGACTACTCTTTCAGTGAGCTTGACTTCACATGAATACCCAAACCTCCCTTTTCCACATGAGGTGAGGCCATGCCCACACTGACCTGTGGACTAGAGTAGATGGAGGTAGATGTTGAAAGTAGGTGAGTGTTTCGAGCTGAGAGTAAAGTGGAGAAGTGACTCCAGTAAGCCAGATGGGGGGTTTGTGAGGGTCTCCAAAGGTAAGGGACCAGAGCCAGTGTCTGAAGCTGGGTTAGGGAAGCAAGACAGACATCTAGGTAGGGAGTTTGTAGTCAAGTCCTTGAGAAGAATGAGGTCGTGTGCACTGCTGGGTCTGAAGTTCAAGGGTTTGATCAGGTGCCCAGGCTCAGTGGGGAAAGAGGGGAACTAATAAACTGAGAGAATCAGTAGGGTGAAGGCCTGGCTATCATGTTAAGTCTTAGGACACATTAGTAGAAGGAGGGCAGTTTGAGAGCAAGGAGGCTGTAGGTGATGGGGTTTTATATATAAAGATTTCAGACAGAGACTGGTTCTAAGTGCTATAGTCTGGTACATGGCCATGGTAGTGATCTGATGATAAGGTAAAAGAGGCCCATATTTGAAACTGAGGCACTCAAGTTTCTGGGAAGCTATAGTGTTGGTGGAATCCTCCTCATAGTCACTGAAGTCACCCCAGGTGATGTAATAAATTTGATTCAGGAAAAGAACATGCCTGTGTCCTCAGTGAACATGGAAGAGTGTTCAGGAGATGACAGTCTTCAATAAAAAGTAAGGGGACAGCAAAGCTAGATGGGACAAACTTCAAAGGAGAAATGAGTTTTGTGCAAGAATATGCATGCAGTAGGTGTTAGGAAGGATATCTTCAATTGCTCTTGGACCTGCCATACCACCTGGGAGAGCTGCACAGAAGTGGTGTCCTTGAACTAGAGGCAGGAAGTGGAAAGTCCTATTTCAGTGAAAGTATGTAAGGAGAAAAGATTGTCTTTATTATATACATGTAAAAATTTCATGTTCTCAGAAACTAAGGATCATCTTTTATTTTCTACTGAGATTGTTAAATTACAGGTTTCCAGGGAATCACAAAAGACAGTTGTACTGACTGGGTAGTATTTAATATGACCAGGTCTTAAATAAGAAGCCATGAACATAAACATTTAAAACCAAATATATAATAAATAATCATTAAGTTATAAAGTACATAATTCATATTAAAGCTAAATTTTCAGATGCAAATGTAATAATACAATAGAGAAATAATATAGAATAATAATGCTATAATTTTATGTGTCCAAAGAAGACACTTTCAGCTAAAATCATAAAAGTCATGATTAATTTTCCCTGAACCCCCATGACCTAGAGAAACCTCTTTCTTTTTTCTTCCTGCCTTCTTTCTTCCCTTCCTTTCTTTCTCCCTTCTTTCTTTTTTCCTTCTTTCCTATTTTTTTTTTAAACATATCCCTTGTTCCTGCAGCAAGTGTTGCTAAAAACGCTGTTGAAATAATGTTGAACAAATGATCAGTTCAGTAGAAAGTTTTACTCAGAGTTGTGGTCAGATGTTCCTGTGAGAGTATCCAGAACTTTAGAGACTCATAGACATATAAAGCTCAAAAAAGATAGAATATTCCTTAGAGACTAAGTCCAACACCCTCATTCTATAGATAAAAAAAATTTAAGCAAGTGACCATAACTTCATATCCAGTGGGATTTCAGGTCTCCTGTATCACCATCCATAGGTGAACAGAAATTGTGGTAGGTCAGCCCCAGATCCTTTTGGAGGTCTGGTCTTGAACACAAAGTAGTGAAGATGGAGCAGTTTGAGTCTCACTTCTTCATCTTGTATATGCTGATGCATTGCTTTCCTTGGGATGTTGCCAGGATCTTTACCTGAGTCTTTAAACTCAGTTTAAAACTCGCCCCATTAAATTATTTTTACTTTTAAGGTAGAATTTCTGGTCAAAAGGATTAAAACAGAGATTTTTAACAGTAAACACACCAAAATAAATACATTGTTTTAAATATAAAATCACAGTGTCAAAGAAACCAACAACTATAAATAAAGCCAGAAATGAGAAATAAGGACTCCATCTTTCCCAAGTCAAATTCATGCTCACTTTCCACTTTTTCCCGATAACCTGGCCTGATACTGAGGCAGGCTTTAGATGTGTATTATGATCACAATGCATATGATTTCTTTGTGATAACATTTTAAAAATTTAAAAGAGAACACCCTGTTTCTGATGATCACACATATCCTTGAGAGTTGATGAAATACTGATTCCTAACATACGTCTTAGAACCATAAATTATCTATACTTGCTCAAAAAATATTTTTAAGTAGATCATTTTCTTCTTAAGAGTGTAAAGCATTTTCCATACAACATCCTCTTGCACACTCACAGCTACTTTAACAATAAGAGATTTTCAAATAGCTTATAACATTCTAGTGAAAACTTAATTTTTCTAGCGTTTTTAACTTTATATTTAAATAAACTGCTGGACTGATATGAAATGGCAGTTAGAGCAGGTTGCTTGTTTTTACTACCCATGATTGATAGTAAAGATTGGGATGCTTATGCAAAAGTCTGTTTCCTACTAGGAGTCCTGGACTCCTGATTTGTCTTCTGACCTTGACTTTGTATAAGTGACTGAATTTGCCTTATGCAGAGCATACAAACACGAAATGTCTGTCTGTTTAAAAAGCAGAAAAGAAGAAGGAAACAGACATTTGTTATTATAAGCTCACTCCCATACAGTCTTTCTAACAATTTAAGAAAAGAGCTACAAGATTTTTTAAAATTCTGTTTAGTTCCAGAAGACCATCTAAAGTATGTCCCTCTACCGATTTTAATTGCCTTTTCCAAAGGCTTAGAATGTTAACTTATAAAGGGACTTGAGTTGGGGAAGGTACTATTATACCCATTTAGAGGAAAAAAGTCCAGAAGAGTCTATTCCATAAATACATTCATATGTATAGCATTAAAATACTTTTGACAGATTCCAATAAAGAAGTCAAAATTTTGGGAGCCATCAGGTAAAACTATCCCCCAGGTACATAAATAAATCATATATTTATATGTTAGACATTCTGAGATTAAAAAAAAAAAAAAACCTCTTCAGATATCGATTTTAAACACTTAGTTTTCATTTCCTTAAAAGTACAAAGACTTCAACTTTTATTTTCACCCTATGCTTCTATATTTTTCAGATTGAGTGAAGGTATTACACCTTTTAAGTTCTGATCATCAGAAACCTCATTCTTTTTGCAATCAAGATCAAGGTTAATATAAGATCAACAAATTCCCAAACTGAATTTTTGGTTAAAAAATTTTAAGCTTCTCCAAGAAGTGTCATAGGTGAGCAGTAAGATAAAGTAAAAACTTTAGAAGCCATAGAAATCTATAACATAAGAAATCAGACTCAAATTGAGTAGAAAATTTTTTCAAGTTGACTAAACAGAGCGTGTAGATGAAACCGAAGTACTGCATAGTGATTTTGGAGAAATAATCCTGACCTTGAACACTCATCTGAGTGTTCCCCCATCACTAATACATTGTACTCGTCCACTTGGAATACCAAGAAGTGGGTTTCACTGCTGTTTTAAAGTATGCAATATAGTGTCCGGCTTCAAGTGAGATCTTCAGGAACCTTCGTATCCCATGTGTTCTAGGACAGGTGCTGATGAATCATCTGGGAAAATAGAATATCATGAGTAACCTCAACTTAAGAAGTCATCTGGATAAGGAAGAAATAGAAAATCAAATGTAATTTGTTATATACCTTTTGGATGAGTGATTTCAGTCTTTCTAGGTATTCCTTGGGTGGTTTTTTCTCATAAGAATCACAAGAAGGACATGTCTAGAAATCAATGAAAGAGTAATAATTTTCTCTAAAACATTTTTCCTACTCAATAAAATGTTCATTCAAATTTTATGTTTTCCAATTAGAGATATAAATCATGTTCACTGAAAAAAAAATTTGAGAAACACGTGAAATAGTTCAGAAAATAACTGAGAAAAATCACTTGACATCCTAATCTCAGAGATAATAACTGCAATATTTAGATATATGTCCTCTTGCTAATTTTTTTCTTCACATTTATGTTTACACTGGTTATTAATTTGCCTTTTTTACACTTAACATATCACAAGCATTCCCTACATATTAAATATTCTTCAAAAATATAGCCCATAACAGTTGCTTTGTATTCATACATAGGATTGAAGTGTTACTATTTTTGGACAGATAGATTGCTCCTGACTTTTCACTATTGTATACAGTGCTACAGAGAACATCTCTGAGTAATTTCCCATAAACTTCTTTATTTTGTTTAATAAACTACTAAAAGTAAAATTAATAAATTAAGTTAAAAGGATAAAATATTTTAAAGCTTTTGAGGTACCTTATTAAACTATTTTATCTCTATTCACGTAGAACATTCTTACCATTATTGGGCATTGTTAAAAATTTTTAGTTGGAAAAAAATAGGATTTCTTTTCTTAACTTGAATTTATTTGTTCATGAGGAGATTAAACAATTCTTTATATGTGTATTACCCAGTTATATTTCTTTTTTAAAAAATGTTTTTTATGTTTTTTATCCTATTCCTATTGGAATTCCAGACACCAGACCATTGCTTGCTATTCAGCATCTCTAATGCCAGTTTGAAGTTGTGGTGAGAGATATTTGAAAGATAAGAGATTTAAGTCCTAGCTCTCATTCAGGCACTTAATATTTGTGGGGCTTGGGACAAGTCACTTAACATCCTTGGTCTCATTTTCCCATCTATCAAATGAAGGTGCTTCACTGAATAGTTCTAAGTTCAGTGCCAGTACTACCATTTTGTATCTTTGATATTTGTTTCAGAGACAGGCTCAGCTCTTTTCTTCCTGAGAAAAGTTTTGGAGAGATACTTTTCACATTCTAACCTTGCCAAGCAATCAAAGGAAATAAAAATCATTTTGATGTTGTAACTAAGAGTTCATTTGCTCACATGTGCAATCCCTTAGAAGAGGGAGACAAAAAAAATTCTAGTAATTTATCTTAAGTGTTCATCCACTGGTTTTTGATTAGTGCGAGAATTACTCATGAGATTATCAGCATTGCTCATGAGTTGGCATAAGAGGAAATATACAAAAGGTTCTCAGGACCCCCCAAACTAGGGAATATTGAAATTCCCTAGCCAAATAATGGGGTCTATCACTTTAAATCTAGCACTGACTCTGCAATTATATAGGATGGTAATATTCTTTAAAAGAAGAAGGCAGAGATTGAGATTTATCCTGGTGTCTTGAAGGCTATTTCTTTTCTTGTAGGAAAGCTAGGGCCTAGCTTAGTTAGTTAATAAAATGGCAAGTTATATGTGATCATATAATGAGCGGAGAATATTTTTTAATTCTTAAGTCACAATTGGATCCTCTGCCTAATGACTTCCTCATTAACTTATTTCAGCTACCAGAGACCATTAGCAAATTCTAATTTGGCTGTTAGTACTTTCAAGTCTGTGGACTAAAAAGAGGTGATTTCACTTCTCAAAACACTCTATATGATAAGGTATAACATGTAACTGGCAGGAAGGCACTGGAGGCTCTGGCTGCATGTGTGTGTGTGTGTGTGTGTGTGTGTATGAAATTGTGTAAAGAATAGATATAGTTAATAAGTACAAATGAGATAGATGACAAATGACAGTCTTACTAGTTCATGTTTCTGTCTTCTCCCTGCATTTGTGGGAGGTAGTTTCCTCTTCAGCTGTTTAGCTAATATGTTGATTATCTTTTCATTGTCTCCATTATTTGCTGACTTCAGTTGAACCTTCTGAAAACATGAAAAAGCTGACCGCTCACAGTGTCTCTGAAAGAGAAATTATTTATGTGCAGGTTAATAAAAGTAATTCAGAAAGTAAAAGTTACCTTCCCAATCCTTTTTTCCAGCAGTGCCTTGGATCACATTCATTTCATCAGGAAAATAAAGAATGATTCATGTCCTACTTAATCTGGGCTGAAGAGGAGACTCTTATCATGTGAAATTTCCCCATTTAGGGGTGGGAGGACGTTTCCCTGTCTCACAGACAAGAAGATAGAGCCTGACTTTGCCACAGTTCTATCTTTCTAATGTCGTTTTGAGGTTTGTGTGTTGGGCAGAACTTTTGGTGTTTCTGAGAGGGTTAGTTTGGTTGCAGAACACACTTTATAAATTATGACACTCTAAGAGTTACATTATGGCTTGTGGCAGCTTTAGGTGAATTAAGGTATGGTGTGTTAGTCATTCAGTCATGTCTGACTCTTTGTGACCCCGTGGACTGTAGCCCACCAAGCTCCTCCGTCCATGGGATTCTCCAGGCAAGAATACTGGAGTGGTTGCCATTTCCTTCTCTAGGGGATCTTCCCAAGCCAGGAATCAAACCTAGGTCTCCTGCATTGCAAATTTTTTACCATCTGAGCCACCAGGGAAGCCCCTATGCTGTGGTAGTCTGCTTAAAAACTGTTTCATTGGTCGGTTTCTCTCCTCCGTGTACATAGGAGTTCCTAGTAGTGACATACATGTCTTGAACAGCACCTTTCCTGTACAATGCCTGGCATAGTGAATGCTAGTGAATGCTCAACAAATATTTGCAGAGTGGACAAATGAATTAAGTGAGTTTAACACCCCTTCTTTGGGGAAATGAAGTGGGTGCCTACCTCGGATGGTACATTCCACATCTAAGATAGAGTCCACCTGCCATAGACCATGTGTGACTTTTCTAAAATCCCATTCACACTCTCAAGTCAGTCAGGGTGGAATCTGCCTGAATCAAGTGGTTGAGGATAAGAATTTGAGATGCGCCCTCCCCACCCCCACACCCACAAGGGAGGGAAGACTGTCCCTTATAAAGTAAGAGTAATGTCTCAGAGCATGGAGAATTGAGCAGATCATGGATCAAAACCTTGATTCTTGGTTTAGTCAAATAACCAGTGGCTCGTGAATAAATCAGAATCTTAGAAATTGAACTGAAAATGAAATGGAATTTACTGGGAGAACAAAATGTATACTGACTTGTTGGAATCATTTTCATGCTGATCTGAGAACTTGTATTCAGGTTAATTTTTTCTTTCAGCAAATGTTTGTATATGATGCTATTCTCCCCCACCCCCGACAGAGTTGCTCTATCTTCATTTCAGCAATGTGTGTGAAGCTACTGCCATGTATCCAGAAGCTGCAACTTCTCTCAGTTCCTACAAGGCCCATCATATATGCGACAATATTACCTGAATCTTCCCATGGACAATCAGCTGAAAATAGCATCTGGCCTGCTTTGCATTTTCCAGCCTATATGCTTACCCAATATGAATGTTGGTTAATAACATGCACCTTTAAGTCACAACCCCATCAGATTTGCTTTGCATACGTAGCCACAAGCCGAGAACCAGCTTATCTGGTTTCCTTATATCAGAGCGGCTTGCCTGTCATCAGGGTGAAATAATGTCCTTTACATATGTTTGCCAAAATGCTTATTTAATAGAAACTATTTATAAATGTTAATTATAGCACTTTTTTTTCCTTGAAAACCACATGTTCATGTTTGTTGAAGTTTTTTCTTTTCTCTTCTTTTTGACCACAACCGGCTTAACTTACTGGAAAAAAATAATATTCATATTTAAAGAGGTAAATTTTCCAGCTGAAACTGAAAACACTAACTGCTTCATCCGTGATGATCTGAGAAACCAGCATTTCTCACAGAGGCCCATTTTGCTGAGTTAACATTAACATGTGTATGTTGAAAGAAAATTAGGTTCCAAAGAAGTGTAGGGGCCTACGAAATTAACTCCCTCAAGACAGTATTGCCAAGAGTGGTCAAGACAAGTGAGCAAAGATTTTGCACCTGAGAAAGACTTTCTGAATAGCTCAGAATGGCATCTGGACACCGAAGCCCCTACTGATGCAGCTGTGCTATCTCTGCTGCGCCTCCTTGCTCACCTGTGTCTATACCCAGTGGAATTTTGCTTTATGCTTTCTGCAAGCAGCACAGCTGTCCCTGGCAGTCTGTGGTCCAGGACAAACAGCTGCTGGATTCGGCTTCAGATGCACATCAAAGGCAGCCTCAAACAGGAAAAGAAGCAGAGAAGCTGCCCTGCTAACTGCTTTAAGGATGCACTGAGGCGGGGAGTAGAGAGGCTGATCTTGATTCAGGCTGCTGCGGGTGCCCTGTCACTCAGGATGGCCCTGAGTTCACGTACAGCACCACCATCTGGGAGCAGAACCACTGCTTTCCTTTGCTGTGCCTTGCAGACTCAGAGGGCAAGGCTTTGCTTCCCTCATCCTTTAACATCTGGAAGCATTAGTTTTGCAGAATAGAGGAAGCAGTGAGGAAATCAAAAGCAAGAGTAACCACTCTTCTCTTTAGCCAGAGAACAGTCAAGTGCTGCTTTTGCAAGTAGGTGCACTTGACTTTGTTGACTGCAATTGAATATTTTAAAATACTTGCCTCCTTACAGTTTCCTTTTGACCTATGTAGTTTTTTTTTCCCCCAAAGAAAGCCCTGGCCATTCACACTAGGAAGTTTTGCCAATGGGGTAAAATTACCTTTGTCCCGCTTACAAACTATGTTTATATCAGGGTTTCTCAGTAGTATCATTGTTGACATTTGGGGATGGATAATTCTTTGTTGTTAGGGCTATCCTGTGCATTCTAGAATGTTTAGTAGCATCCCTGGCCTCTACCTATTAGATGCCAATAGAAACCTACACACACACAACTGTGGCAACCAGAAATTTTTCCAGATAATGCCAGATGTTCTCAGAGGGCAAAGTCACCACCAGATGAGGACCACTGGTTATATAATTAGAAAGAGAAAGAAAGATACCTGATGAGGCCAATTAGCAACCTTAGCTAATCACTGTCAACATTTATATGCAACATTTTAATGAATTTATTTTCATTGAACTTTTTAATCTTTTAAAATCTCTGATAGACTCTGCTGTGATGCAAGTCCTGAAAAACTTGATATAACGCTACTATGACCTTGATCTATTTTCTTCTCTCCTGGTTTGCTTGCCAGCATGGCTTAAAAATCTTAGTTATACCATTATTCACTTGTATCATAGCTAGCATTGCTTGATCTGATTATTAGATAGATACAATGTCACTGACACAAAATCTTGTCATTATGATATAAGATAAAAAACATCTGCTTTAACAAAGCATATAGAGTATCCACTGGATCAACTCAGTTTAGAAAATGGGATATCTTTCTTATTTTGCAAGTCATAGACTGCAGCTAAGCAACTCCAGAAAGGACTCTAACCACAGAAGTTAGACAAAGGACATGAGATGCTGAAAAATACATGTTTTGATAATTAGGACATTAAGAAACAGTCTTTTTGAAAAAGTCTTTCCAATAAGCTGAATGTGCTACTTTCATTTTAGATGCTGCTTATTAGAAAAGGACTTAGTAAATGAGAGTGGTTAGGCTCAGAGACAGAGAGTGAATTTTAGAGAAAAGCAATAGTTGTGACTCATTCACTTTCTAAACTTTTACACAGTCATTTACGATAATTGTTTTCTTTGCAATGTATCTTCATAAGTCTCCCCTTTGTAGTGTCCTAATTACTGGTAGTACTTTTATAGTTATTCTAATTTATGCAGTTAAAGCTCTGTGACAGTGAAACTGTTTACCCCAAATGCATTTATATCCTCAGGATACCAAACCTTAAGACTAGATAGAAGTTACCAAGGGAAAGATCAGCACACAGTACTCTTGAACTACATGCTATGCCTCTTCTTCCTGGGACCTCATGGATTTAAATGGCTTAAGAGAACGGGATGAGATGTTGAAAATTGTCTTTTCAAAAGATCTCACCGAAGGCCAAAGACAAGACCCATTCAGTCCAAAGGTATACGGGAATTATATTCTAAAGAATAGCCTTGATTTCCATACCAGTATTCCTCCATGCTGTTCTGCAATCTATTCTTTCTTTAGTTCTCTTTGTATTCCTTCTTTCTCTCTTTCTCTCCCTTTTACCCTTCCTTCCTTTCTGCCTTTCTTTCTTTCTCCCTTCCTTTGTAATTATCAAAAACTGAATCCTGCTTCTATAGTTTGTGTCTATGTTTCATAGATTTACAAAGAAGGCTCAAGAACTTTTATGCACAGACTCTTAAAATGTAATTACTTGGTCATTGTTCAGAAAATGATCATAGTATAGATTTATTTTCTAGTTTTGTTTTTCTGTCTCAACAGTACTACTTGGTAGAGATACTTGAAGATAAAAATATATCATATAAGGTATGTAGTATTTTATAGGTTGGCTTGTTGGTAAATCAATGAATATTTGGGCAAATTAGAAATAACTATATAGTAAATGTATTTATTAAATAACTAATTATTAAACCACAAAATTCATTGATATTAAGTCTATTTCTAAATAATCACGTTAATGCCTTCCTTAATTGGATTTTAAAACTTTTATCAAATGCATTTTCACAGACAAATTCAACTGGTCTTACCTTTACATCTTCTGGAGCTGGCAGAAATTCAGGATCCTACAGCAAAAGAAAATTAGTTCTGAGTTATTTTTATAAGTCAAAAAGCTCCTTTTATAGTAACTGAAGAATATTATTTGAATTTTGTTGTGCCAAGTATGGCCTTACCAAGTCATTCACATAGTTTTTCAGCTGATCAACAATGTCTATAAGTTGACGGAGTCTAATAAAGAGGCGATCTTGCCCTTGGAAGCTTGACTTATGGGCCACAGTCCCAGAGAAGATGACCATCAGGCAAATGACTATTCTCATGTTGCCAGGAGTGGATCTCATAAGTACCAGTAGAGCAAGATCTTGGTCTCAGTTTTCACTTCAGTTTGTGAACAGGTTGTCAGAAAAGCTACCTATTTATTCATCCTTCAGGGAGAGGTAAAGCCCTCCCATTGCAGCCTGGAAATCTTTGTAAAATGGATGAATGTGAGTAACTCTTTTTTCTTTTCCACTGGCTAGGTATACGTGTGCATGTGCTAATGCGTGGGGGCAGGGATTGATGGAGTTAACAAAATGTGCCCAATCTGCATCTTAGACAGGAAAAAGAGAGACATGGGTGAATTCCAATTTTCAGCATGAATCAAGAGGTATGCACAGTAAATAGTAAGTACTACAAGATTTCAAAGAAGTAAACAAAACACTTTGATCTCTCTTTCTCTGCCCCCCCTGGCATCTTACCTGTTTTCTCTGACAGTCATAAGGGCACTTCAATAATGAGTAAAGTGGCAACATGTGCTTTCTTGCAGGACTTTTTCTTATGGTAATAACTAGGCTTTTTGACTGAGATCATCCAATAATCCATCATAAAGGTAGGAGGGCAGCTACCTTTTAGGAAATTTTAAATATCAAGTGTATTTTCCAAATTAGCAAGAATATTTTAGTTTCTTAATCAGGTTAAACGGTTTAAAGTAGAATGTGCTTCCGACTCTGCTCCCAAGCATCTTTAAGTAACATTAATTTCAGCCTTTAACACTCTACTTAGCCATCTGATTTATACATATTATTCCATCCCCAATCAAGATTTCATCCTACCTTCATTAAAAAATAATGCAACAATTAAGTGAATGAAAAAGCTAATACTCATTCCTCTCCAAACCAAAATTTTATTTCAAACAACAAAATCCAAAAATATCTGCGACTCTTCTTTTCTTTGAGTAGTGTTACTTATTTCTGTTAGATATCATTTTCTCTGGGTATGAACAATACATTTCTAACTATGATCAGATAGAGATTAATGAAAGGCTCAAAGTCCACACGTGGTTCTGTCATCCTCCTCTCTGCGTCTTCTCCTGTCACTGCTACTCTTTACTCATTTGAGAAAGCTGAATATGATATTATAGAATCATGGAAGTAGTATTGTAGCATAGTCAATTGGGTCTTACAATAAAACTCTTGGCTATGGATTTTTTTATCCATCTATTTCATCTATTTCATCACATTCTTACAGCTATACTTTTTTCTAAAATGTTATGTGTCTAAGATATATTGGACTTTTGGACTTGCTTTGAAGGTTGTTTTTAATCTTTATACTATAGAATATCTATTCAAGAGTATTCAGGTTTGGTCCTACAGAATAATAAAATCTTACCATATGATCAAGAAGTCCTCTCTATAATCATTAAATTCTATACAATAGGGTTGATGTATAAACCTATGAACTGCATTTGGACTTGGGGTTGCCACTTTGCACCTCAACATTGCCCACATCAGCTTTGTTCAGGCTTTCTTTATTTGTTAAAGAGATGTGAGTCTCCTTGAAGATACTAACCGCAGTGTTAAAGAGCCCAATTTCTAAAGCATATTGCTTGAATTCAGATCCAGGCCCTAACAATGAGTTACGTATTAATTGTTGTACATATGACCCTGGATATGTTATTGCACAAGGAAGATAAGTATAGAATCTAATCATAGGGTTGTAATGAGGCTTAACTAGACATTTCAGGGGGAAAAGGGCCAAGTACATCACACAATAAGATCTCAGAAGATATGTGTGCTGATCATGGATGAGGGTAGAGAGGAAAATTTATAAAAGCCTAGAGAAGCTAAGCTGATCCATGGAAGGAAGAACACAGATAGATCAGCCAAAACACATGGGTGTGGCTGTATTTGCCATAAAAAAGTTTTGTCTTTAGTGCTGCTTAGAGAGAATCACTTGTCCCAACTCTGGAGTGCCTCACCATCAGCCTAGACCTCCTGGCCCTCCACAGTCCATCAACCAGCACACCAGAATCTGCAAGTCTCACTCTAACATCAAGACCCAAGACCTTTCTGAGAGTCAGATCCCCTGCTTTAAGTAGCGTTTCAGTTGTTAAGCATTTTGAATATCACTGCTGGTATAGTAGGTTGAATAATGGTACCCTAAGATGTCCACATCCTAATCCCTAGAACCTGTGAATATGTTACCATCAAGGTAATCAAAGGGACTTTACATGTGTGATTAAATTAAGGATCTTGGGAGGAAGATTCTCCTGGTTATCCATGTGACCTAGTAATCACAAGGGTCCTTGTAAGAGGAAGTGGTGGGGTTGGAGGGGGTGGGTCAGAGTCAAGAAAAATGTGATGACAGAAGCAGAGGTCAGAGTGATATGAGGCTTGAAAAGCCAAAGACCTCCTGAAGCTGGGAAAGACAAAGAGCAGGTTCTTCCCTAGAACCTCTGGAAGAAATGTGACCAACACCATGATTTCAGCCCCTTTAAGCTCATTTTGGACTTCTGGCATCCAGAACTGTAAAGTAATGAATCTGGGTTGCTTTAAGCCAATGAATTTGTGGTAATTCGTTACAGTAGTAACAGGAAAGTAACACACCTATGTGTGGGATTTTTACTTTTGGAAAAGCAGTGAGAAAGGAAGGAAAAGGTGATTAGGAGAGAACTAGTAAAGGCTGGAATTTGGTTTGCTGGACTGTTGGGGTGCAGATAGAGGGGATCAGGAATCATAAAGATGAGAGGAAAGTAAGATTAGTGTAGCTGCCTTTGGGTATGGGATATAAGGGAGAAGAATGTCCGATGAGGACTTTCCAGGAAGTCTGGGTGTCTTTTAACAACTTCTTCCTGGTGCTGAGAGGGCTCACTCAAGAGTGACAGTGTTTCAAGGCTATGTAGCCCAATTTGCATTGTGCTAGAATTTATCACTGTGTTGAGACAGATCTTAGAATGAAGTAAAGAGACTTAGATTTACATGAGTTATGTATTCTCTGCTTAGAAATACTAACTTAGCTACCTTTTACAGCATCATTTCATTGTGGTCTTAATGGTTTTTTAACTCTTTAGATTGTAGTCTTTTTTTTAATTTAGATTCAGTCAGTCCTGCCGTAATATTTGTATTGAAAATGAGAGTTTATCTCACCGTGACAAATATACCAGCGCATAATTTGAGTATAACCAGAATTTTGTGTTTCCTCATATGTGATTTCGTCTGTAAGAAATGCTAGGTAAATGCAGAATCCAGCTGAACTGGGCCATTTAGGAATATAAAAAATGCACACGCACTTCAAACACTCACCAGCTAACTGTCCATATCTGCGGTTAAAACAGCTTTCTGTCCTGGAAAGCCTTTGTTGCCATTTCTCAATAGTCTGTAGCTGCGACTCTTCCTGCACTCACCTCCATGAACAAACCTCAGGTCTTTTCCAAGGCAAAATGCCATACTTACTATAGTATTTATGTGTTTCTTTACCATTTAACATGTGTAAGACTGATGTCTTTCTTCCTTAGGTTCCTATCATCTTTTATCACTGACAGAATCTCAGTGTTATGCCCTTAATCCTATTTCCCCCATAAGCTCGGTGGTGTTTCTTGTGTGATTTTATATAGCGCACTTGGTTTTTAGAAAAGTGTATGTCACATTATAGCAGAACTGACTGTATTTTATCTGAAAGTGTCACACTAAGTCTCAACAGCATCTAGTTACATCCAGATGAAGAGCAAGGCTAGGATCAAGGATTCAGTCCTAAGGAGGGAGAGAAAAGGGGATGATGGAGGAAAGGAGAAAGAATGAAAAACAAATTCTTTCTTTCTCATTTTTACACATATCCCATCTGAGCTCAGCCTCCCTGGCGGCTCAGAGGTTAAAGTGTCTGCCTGCAATGCAGGAGACCTGGATTCAATCCCTGGGTCAGGAAGATCCCCTGGAGAAGGAAATGGCAACCCACTGTAGTACTCTTGCCTGGAGAATTCCACGGACAGGGGAGCCTGGCGGGCTACAGTCCATGGGGTCACAAAGAGTGGACACAACTGAGTGCTCACACATTTCATCTGAGCTCAGATTTTTAAAACCCTGGTGGTGCAGGTCCTCCCTGGCCCTTTCCCATCAGTGCAGGGGAGCACATCTTGGCTTCCTTGAGCCTTCTGAAATTGTTTGCACATTTTTGTGTTTTATGTTTGTAGGAAGAAGAAAACCTTGAATTTCATCTGCTTCTCCAAGGAAATGTCAGGCAGCTGCTGCTTTTATTTTCTAGGCACCAGAGGCTTCTGTGAAGGGCAGTGTGGATCCATGCTTCTTCAGCGCCCCCACGGCATCATGAATAGAAGTGGCAGCTGCTGATGTGGCAGGATTAGTGAAAGGGCAACAACCTGGCTGAAGCCACACTTGTGTAACAAGCCCACTGCTTTCACTTCACTCCCATGGTTGTTTAGTACAGGCAACCCACTCCAGTACTCTTGCCTGGAGAATTCCACGGACAGGGGAGCCTGGCGGGCTACAGTCCATGGGGTCGCAAAGAGTGGACACAACTGAGTGCTCACACATTTCATCTGAGCTCAGATTTTTAAAACCCTGGTGGTGCAGGTCCTCCCTGACCCTTTCCCATCAGTGCAGGGGAGCACATCTTGGCTTCCTTGAGCCTTCTGAAATTGTTTGCACATTTTTGTGTTTATGTTTGTAGGAAGAAGAAAACCTCGAATTTCATCTGCTTCTCCAAGGAAATGTCAGGCAGCTGCTGCTTTTATTTTCTAGGCACCAGAGGCTTCTGTGAAGGGCAGTGCGGATCCATGCTTCTTCAGCGCCCCCACGGCATCATGCATAGAAGTGGCAGCTGCTAGTGTGGCAGGATTAGTGAAAGGGCAACAACCTGGCTGAAGCCACACTTGTGTAACAAGCCCACTGCTTTCACTTCACTCCCATGGTTGTTTAGTACCTTGGAGTGAGGTGGTGGATTCTGCTACATGTACTCTTCCCAGGAATATAACCCAGGTCGTCACCATGAAAGCATGAACCTTCAGTCACCCACCCAAGAGGATTCACAGACACATTTCAAGAATTTTCTTGAATGGACTATGCTTATAGACCACCTGGTCAGGGAAGGAAGGAGGCCAGGGCACTGAAGGAAGGCTTCCAGCCAAGGAGAGCAGGCTGGGGGTGAGAGGAAGAAAGGGAAGGAGGGGTTGAAGTATGAAGCGAGTGCAGTTAGGTCACAGTTTTGCCTGGGAGAGACATGCTGGGTCTGAGATGGTACTGGTCACTCCTTGTGCCCAGCTCTCTTGCCCTATCTGCACAGCTCTTCCTTGTGACCACGGGGTGTCAAGTATTCCCTTTCTGCTTTCACTTGCCTTGGCCTTTCATGGGTAGAATTAGATATCCTGCCAGACAAACTCTGCCAAGAGCAGTCTCTGGTATTTAGAGCTATAGACGTTATTGTAATAGGTGCCACTCCATAGGCCAAAGGTAGATGGCTTATCTTTAGGCGACCGTGACACCCATCAGTGAGGCTACAGATCGCACGTCCATCATACCATGACCGTCAGGCACAAAGTATGGAGAAAAAGAATCAGAAGATCCATACCATTCAACCAAGTTCCATCCTGATGCCCCACGAGATATGACAGTTTCCACCAGCCTCCCTAGTCTCCTGTCCAATAGCTCTGATCAAAGGAATGCTATGGTCTTTGGACTCAAGACCTGCACCTGTTTCCTTCCCTAGGGTGAGAAGTGGCTATAAACATCTGTCTTGACCCTGCATCTCCTGATACACTGTCATGAAAATAAAAAAATACAACATTGGCCTTTGCTGTCAATGTGTCCTCTTCCCAAAGTGTCTGCTGAGTTTCTCATTCATAGGAACCTTCTCTCCACATCTTCCAAGGGGCCGTGTCAGGATATCAGAGAAAGGAGTCTGAAGGCTGAATGTCTCACTCATTCTGAACAGACATTTCTGTTTCTAGGGATGAGGAACATTTAGGGAAAATTGTTACTTTTAATCTTTATATTTACAAAAGTAATACATGTGTGTCATAAAACAAAGAATTCAAATACACATAACTGTGGAAAGTAAAAAGCAAAATTTAAAATTGCTTCCTTTTTCTAAAGAAATACAGTAAGATAAAATTGCTCCCCTTTTCCCCCTAATTCTCACTTTCTAGGTGCACTCTTGAGAATACATGGAGTATCGTATATTCTTTACCTATGTACTTAGAACATATAGAGGCATAGATATAAATGTACATATTGAAGGAATTAGAATTTTAGATGGAGATAGAGAAGAATAGAAAAAGAAACGAAGATGTAGACAAGAAAAAATTTGCTTTTTTTATGTAAAAATTTAATCTTGTCATACATATTCTGGGCACCCCTGGTGGTTCAGACGGCCAAGAATCTGCCTGCAATGTGGGAGACCTGGGTTTGATCCCTAGGTCAGGAAGATCCCCTGGAGGAGAGCTTGGCAGTCCACTCCAGGATTCTTGCCTGGAGAATCCAATGGACAGAGGAGCCTGGTGCGCTACAGTCCACGGGGTCACACAGAGTCGGACACGACCGAGTGGCTAAACACAGCACATACATATTCTAGAGCTTTTCTTTTCACTCAACAATATGTCAGGGACAGTGATCCATACAGCATTCTCACACAGGGCTGTCTTATTTAAACAGGAGGTTAATATTCCATTGTATGGCTATATTATAATTTATTTATTCATGACCCTGGTGATAGGCATTTAGATTATTTCCAATTTTTATTTCCTACAAACAGCACTACAATGAATATCCTTAAACCTCTATGTCTTTAGCATATGTGAACTATATTTCTTTTAGATACATATCACACATTTCACTTTCTGAGTGGAAATATTATATCCTTTTAAAATCAGACAGGAACTGTCAAGTTGCCTTCCAACATGTCAAAACAGTTTACACTCCCACTGATAATACAGTTTCCTTTCCCTCTCCATTCTCATAAACGCTTTATATTGTGAATATTTTAAATGTTTGCCATTATGCTAAGGCAAAAAAAAAAATTAGTATCCTATCATTGGTTTGCCTTTCTTTGATCAATAAGTTAAGTTCGTCATATTTCATATCTTTATTATCAGTGTTTTTTTGTTTTCTTCTGTGAAAAGTCTTGTTCATAATCTTTGTCCATATATTGGGTTGTTTCTCACCTGTAAGGGCTCTTTCTCTCTTAAAGATATGTTAAACATGTTTAAATTATTTTCTCCATGGTGTCTTTGCCATACAGAGATTTTGTTTTTACGTTACTAGATCTTAGAATCTTACGTTTTATGATATAAGCTCCTATTTGGTATCAAAAATGCCTCACCTTCTATAATAATGTCATTGAAATTGGTTTAGTCTTAGCTTGAAGAATTATAATGCCAAAGAGTCATTGATTTCAGGAGTATTTTTAAATGAATCCACATTTAATTCATCATAAGGCTAGCTACATACTTTTTTGAAAGTATGAATAATATCTATACGGTCAAAAATTAGTCAGTTTATAAACGGTGGCGCACACATCAATAGATTCATGGGCTACCTGAATACTATTGTTTTAGAACAAAGTTGGGTATGATATATAATTATTATATACACATAAGTCTAATCGTATACCACTCTCAGGGAAACAAGGCACTGGAGAATCCTAACGTGGCATCTGAGCCAGCAATTGTCGATTGTCTTTGCTACAGTTTTAGTGCTGAATGTTTTATTTTACTTGCACTTTTTAAATATGGACTCTCCATATCTAGTATACATGGTAGCTTTATGAAAAAAATTGACTGACTAACAAAGTGGACGACAGGAAAACACAAACTCTGTGAGATCTGCTCAATTAATGCCAAGGTTGCCCTAAAATCAGCTTTTAAACTGAAGAATAGTTACACCTGAGAGCTACTTCTGTTGATAATAAAGTGAGTGGGGTTTCTCTGGAGAAAATCTTAGACCAGTCAAAAAGATAATAATTCTTAGAGCAGACACATATAGTTAAGTGCTTTGCAGACATTGTCTCATTTGAAGCAACAACATGAAATGAGGTACTATGATTATCCCTTTTCACAGATGAAGAAACCAAGACACCACAAAGTTGAATAACAATGAGGTGACTGGAAGACAACTGTCTGCAGAGCTTGACCACTTCTCTCCACAAAAGGAAGCTGCCTCCATTGCCAACGCCTTTGGCTTATAACAGAATAGCCTCTGCAGTTCAAGAGACCGCATAACGGGATTAAACCATACTGGTGATGCTTCTGACATGTGGATTTGGAGTGAAGTAAGGAGTCCTTTTGCAGAATTATTCTTGGTGGTATCCAAAATGTAAAAATATATATACAGTCAGAGTTAATTAAATAATTAACTCAGTTTCCAGTCTGAGTTGGACTATCCAATTGCCTGTCTTTCATTTATTTTACCCACCCTGGTACAGCGTAAATTGGTTTTCTGGTATTTTATACCCATACAAGAAGAGAGAAATAATTGAGTAAACCCCTGTAATCATTTGGATCGTGAGTAGCATAGACAAAATCAACTAAGAAAATCAATTATCTTAACAACTTAATAGCCAAAATATGATTTAAGTTATTTACATGTATTTATTTTTTTATTACCTCAGTAATTTATTCCACATTTTCTAACAACTCTGCAGATTCAATTAAAAAACAATAATTAAAAATAAAAGATACAGAACTAATATTAACCATAGAAAATATTCTTAAACTAAGAGATTTTTCCCCCCCTCATACTGTCCCAAATGGTGAAAAGTAAATTCCACAGTGAAGTGTAAACAGAATCTAATTTTACAGCTGGTTGTTTTGATGACTAACTTGGACATTTATGGTATAGATTCAGACTTTATTAATTTTTTAATTGGAGGAAAGTTGCTTTGCAATGTCACATTGGTTTCTGCCATACAGCAGTGTGAATCAGCCTTAATTATACACATACCCCTCCCTGTTGAGCCTCCCTCCCCTGCCCGCTCTAGGTCACCGCCGAGCACCAGACTGGGCTCCCTGTGTCATATAGCAGCTTCCCACTCGCCATCCATTTCACACGTGGTAGTGTATATATATCACTGCTACTTTCTTCATTTGTCCCACTCTCTCCTTCCCCAACTATAGCCACAAGTCCATTCTCTACATCTGTATCTCCATTCCTTCCCCACAAGTACGTTCATCAATACCATTTTTCTAGATTGCATATATATATGTTAATATATGATATTTGTTTTTCTCTTCCTGACTTAGTTCACTCTGTATAACAGGCTCTGGGTTCATCCACCTCTCTAGAACTGACTCAAATTCATTCATTTTTATGGCTGAGTATAATAATATTCCATTGTATATATGTACCACATCTTCTTTATCTGTTCATCTGTAGATGGATATCTTGGTTGCTTCCATGTCCTGATTATTGTAAATAGTTCTGTAGTGAATATTGGGGTACATGTGTCTTTTAAAATTGTTGCTTTCCACAACTGATGAAGAATTTATCTCAAAAATATACAAGCAGCTCCTGCAGCTCAATTCCGGAAAAATAAACGACCCAATCAAAAAATGAGCCAAAGAACTAAACAGACATTTCTCCAAAGAAGACATACAGATGGCTAACAAACACATGAAAAGATGCTCAACATCACTCATTATCAGAGAAATGCAAATCAAAACCACAATGAGGTACCATTACACGCCAGTCAGGATGGCTGCTATCCAAAAGTCTACAAGCAATAAATGCTGGAGAGGGTGTGGAGAAAAGGGAACCCTCTTACACTGTTGGTGGGAATGCAAATTAGTACAGCCACTATGGAAAACAGTGTGGAGATTTCTTAAAAAGCTGGAAATAGAACTGCCATATGACCCAGCAATCCCACTTCTGGGCATACACACCGAGGAAACCAGATCTGAAAGAGACACGTGCACCCCAATGTTCATCGCAGCACTGTTTATAATAGCCAGGACATGGAAGCAACCTAGATGTCCATCGGCAGATGAATGGATAAGAAAGCTGTGGTACATATACACAATGGAATATTACTCAGCTATTAAAAAGAATGTATTTGAATCAATTCTAATGAGGTGGATGAAACTGGAACCTATTATACAGAGTGAAGTAAGTCAGAAAGAAAAACAATACAGCATATTAACGCATATATGTGGAATCTAGAAAGAGGGTAACAGTGACCCTATATGCGAGACAGCAAAAGAGACACAGATGTAAAGAACAGACTTTGGACTCTGTGGGAGAAGGTGAGGGTGGGATGATTTGAGAGAATAGCATCGAAACATGTATATTATCATATGTGAAACATATCACCAGTCCAGGTTCGATGCATGAGACAAGTGCTCAGGGCTGGTGCACTGGGATGACCTGAGGGATGGTGTGGGGAGGGAGGTGGGAGGGGGGCGGTCAGGATGGGGAACTCATGTACACCCATGGCTGATTCATGTCAATGTATGGCAAAAACCACTACAATATTGTAAAGTAATTAGCCTACAATTAAATAAATTAATTTTAAAAATAAATAAATAAAAGTATTCGGTGAATGAAAAAAATAAAATAAAATAAAATTGTTGCTTTCTCAGGGTATATGCCCAGTGGTGGGATTGCTGGGTCATGTGGTAGATTTGCTCCTAGATTTTTAAAGGAATCTCCGTATTGTTCTCCTTAATGGATGTAACAGTTTACATTCCCACCAATAGTGTAGGAGTAAATGTTCCCTTTTCCCCACATCCTCTCCAGCATTTATTGTTTGTAGGTTTTTGATGATGGCCATTCTGACTGGAGGAGAAGGAAATGGCAACCCACTCCAGTATTCTTGCCTAGAGAATCCTAAG